GGAAACGAGGGTTTCCCTGGAGCCCAGGCTCATTCGGAGTCGGCTGAGGAAGCCGAACCCCAGAGCAAAAGACACCACGAAGAGAAGAGGGTATCTCTGAAAACAGAAGGGTTGGTGCAGACCGATGTGCTTGTCAACATGGCAACCCGGACACACCTGAGAACACCTGCTCCACCACCCAGATGGCCATTATGGGGCAAATGTCACGCTCTTTCCATTGTTATTCTCTTCTCATTTCTTCAGAGTTGTACAGAGGTCAAGTCCCATCAAGGGGGTTCCCAACGATCCCCATCTCCATCTTATCTTAGGATGAAGCTTGAAAAACGCTTTAGCACTGAAGCCCACCCCTTGGAAAGGCCTCTGCCTGGACAAAGAAAGGGCTGCCTCAATTGCATAAGTTTGAGTGTTTTTGGAAAATATTCCTGCTCCCAAATAGATCTCCTATATTGACATGTCACACTGGCTGAAATTCCACCAATAGAGCTCTCCTTTTGATGTAAAAAAGTCTTGAATTTTTGTCAACCTTAATTTTTTTCTCACATAAAGATGTTTTCCCAAGACTTTTGCAACCTACCATTTGTCTACTGAGAGTCTGACCCATAAAAGACCCCCCCAAAATATAGTATCTATTTACTATCTGATGAATGATCAAAGTAAATAAACAAATAAACGAGTAGCAGCCTAAAATTAGAGAGCTCAAAGAAAGCCATCCTTCATCTAGAACTCTCTGTTTTGTTTTAATGGAGTTGAACAGATAGCGTAATTGCATGAACTTGTTCTTTGAGGGGGTGGATATATATAAGTTTTGTGATGTTACAAACAGTATTATAATTAAAGGTGCTTCTGCATCTGAAAAATTTTAAAACCACTGGATTCAGGTGATTGGTTCTGATAGCACTTGTTCATACAATAGAATAAACTAAAGAATAAACTTTTGTCAAGGTATCTTTCTTCAAACACCTTTCTGGGTGTCTCGGCATCAGCAAGGAATCATATTGAAAAGACTCAGCACAGAGCCTAGCATACAGTAATCCCAGAATGTAGTGCAGTGGTATTATTCATACTTGGGGACTTGAACTTGGAGACTTAACATTTATTTGGTCTAGAGTATTTTAAAATCACCCATTCTGTCTCTTAAAGAGCAAGAACCGTGATGGAGAGGTAGCAAATACCTTCACCTGGGGTTCTCTGCAGCTGGAAGGCACAGAGCACATAGCAAGCCATCAAGAGGAAGAGCTCCAACCAGAAACTTCTCCCACACCTCGGGCTCACCAAGGAGAGGTACAACTAGGTGAAAAGTGGACATGGATTGTCAAAGGAACAACAGAGCAAAAGAAATGGAAAATAGGGTGGGAGAGGAGAGAAGCCACAAGGTGGTGCTCTATCTGTACAGTTGATGGGAAGGGCCAGATGATTTTTAGTGCCCCTTTCTAGTACTCTACGTTGAGAGAGTAGTTTTAAAAAATAAAAAGGGTATGTGATGGTGAAGAGTGATTCGAAAACCTAAAGGAAGATGCTGAGCCCGTGAGGGCTATGTTGCTTATTTCATGCAATGTATTTAGTCTACAGATCATGCAATGCAAAGAGCAGGAGGGAGGAAGCAACGGTCAAGATGTCATCTTGTCATCTTCGCCTGGACTTCCCACTACAACTTTCTCTGTTCTGAATCTATGCCAAGCAAACAACATAGTACCCGGGACATGGTAAGTGCCCCATAAATATGTGTTACTTCAAACATAATTATGCTTTCACTTTAGAAAATATGGAAAAATTACCAAAGAATATAAAGAAAAAATAACCATCATTCATGAGCCCATCACCCATAAATAACACAAAATAACAAATAACATATATTGAGTGATTGTCATGTGCTAAGCACTTAATATGATCTGTCTCATTTAGTCATTCACTTAACCATTGTCAATATTTCAGATCTCTTTCCAGGTATTTTTTTCTGTACATGATACATAGATATTTCCAATAGTTGTGCTAAGCCATTTACATATGTTTCGTTATGCTTCTTACTATTATTTCTTATAATCCTCACGGTAAACTTGTGAGGTACCTGTTTTTTCCTCCCATTTTACATATAAAATCACTGAGACTCAGGAATTAAGTTGCCTAAGGTCACAGAGCCAAAAAATGTCATTGCTGGGATCTGAACCAAGGTTTGACAGACAGTACGGCTCATGATTTCATCCATTATCTGCTCTCTCCTGCTCTCTCAGCTTCCCAGGTGTTCTTCCCTACAGGATGTGAGTGAAAAATGACAGGTTCATTATTCCTAGGGGGGTCCTAAAGACAGGCCTTTAAAATGGTACAAGGGTTACACGTGTAAGGTGTGGTTATTGCAAGAAATGGCCAAAGAGACCCTTGATTCGTACCGCCCTCCTGCCAAAGAGATAGCATTGTGATATCCAGTGACAAAACAGGAAAGGTGTGGGCTGTGCCAGGGTCCATGAATGTCACTTTTATGACTGCCTGGCCA